TTGAAATGAAACCGCTTCAAGGATATCTACATTCTTTACCATCATCTGGATTCTCATCTCATGTAAATTATTTGGCCACTTTTCATTTTAATCCTCCACTGTCATTTTCTACAAAAGAGATCATTTGGTTTCTTCATGGAAGGTATTCAGCTGACAGCTGCCCTTTGTCTAGAAAGCAGTGTGCCTTTGCAGAGTTACTTGTGCTTGCTTTTTTTTTCCCTTCCTTTTAAGTTCATATCGCTTCAAATTTTTCATCTGTAGCTTTCGGGAACTTTTCAGGCTGTGAGCAGGCTGAGGTTTGTAGCTGTGAAGAGAAATTCAGACATCCTGCATTCTTCCCCTGTCTACCTGGCTGATAAGAAAGAGAACTGGAGGCAGATTAATTAATTTACTGCTTGCAAGAAGAACTGTAGTAAAAAAAATCACAGCGTTTTCACAACCTCTACATGAGCAAACAGAATAATCAGTGGTGAAGTCTTGAATTTTTTTTCCATGACTTTTCTATCTTGAAAACTCAGTTGTTCTCTCCTACTTTCCAGAAATTGTAGGATCATAGAACCATAGAATTGTTAAGGCTGGAAAAGACCTTTAAGATCAAGTCTAACCATCAGCCCAGCATAAACCTCAATGTCCTCAAGTGCCACATGTTGAGAGGTTTTAAATGTTGTGCTTTGTTTCCTGGTGGATCACCCACAAGACCCATTAAGACCTGGAAGGGATGGGAATGAACTGGGTGTGCAGAGAATTTGAGGGCTGAGGCTGCAAATCAGCAGTTGGGGCTGAGGGTTGTATATTTTTGATTACCTGTAGCTGTGAGATCTTTTCCTTTAAGAGTGGGAGCTCCTGTGTGTGATCTCTGGTAAAGCAGCTTGCACCTTATCAGAGGTTAAAAGCAGGATATGGTCATGGAGAAAACTATTATAGCCTTAATAATTTAGATTAGATTAGGAAGAGATTCTTCCTTGGGAGGGTGGGGAGGCCCTGGCACAGGTTTCCCAGAGAAGCTGTGGCTGCCCCATCCCTGGAAGTGTCCAAGGCCAGGTTGGACAGGGCTTGGAGCAACCTGGAATAGTGGAAGGTGTCCCTGCCCATGGCAGGGGGTGGAACTGGATGAGCTTTAAGGTCCCTTCCCACCCAAACCAGTCTGGAAAGTGTCTTTCCAGCTCCGTTCTGGTACCCACTTGGTTTTGTGATCTCTGTGAAAACAGGGCCACAGGAGCTGCCTGAAAACTTCTCCAATTTTTTTTTAGAACAGGGATTTAGGATGAAAAAAAATTTCAGATTTTCAAGTGGGAATCGTTTTTCTTGTAAAAACGTTTAGTTAAGAAATTTGTGTTAGAATTCGAAGAAGACGTTTTAGAATACCAAAAAATACGTCTTGATCTAATCAAATAAGTTTTGCTTCGGTTGTAAAATATTTAGAGATAAGAATTACCATTTTCAGCGGTTTCTAAATCAAAAAAATGATTGGACTGCCCAAAACCACCTCATTTGCCAGCAGAGGTGCCTCATTCATTGCCTAGTTCTTGAAAGTTAGTTCCATCACAAGGAGATTTCCTGTTGTCCCAGAGAACTGTAAGTGTGAGCCTAAGTTTTGTTGTGGTTGGAAAACATGAGCTGCTTTGCTGGAGCCAGGGAAAGCCTGGCTGTGGCTTGCAAAAGGGATAGTGTTGAGTTATGTGCCAAGAGAAGGTTCACTCTTGGCTCTTGTGTTGTCTTTGCTGCGTTAATTGGTGTCTCACGTTCTTGCATCAACATAAGAAAGGGCAGTTCAAGTATAAACTGATACTTAATTTTATGTATTTTGTAATTTTTTTCCCATAAATATTAGGCATTGTCCAGCAGCTTTGTGACCACAGATGATCTCGAACCATAATATCAGATGATATCAGGGCTTCACCTTCTGTTTTTAGGGCATCTTTGTGTAGATCCATCATGTTTTCTAATTTTGTGGGGTTTCTTTTGTGGTGTTTGCTCTTGGCTTTTGACAGGTACTTCTAAGTAAAGTAAATAATGTTCACAGGATGGTTGGGGTTGGAAAGGACCCCTGGAATCATCTGGTCCAGTTTCCCTGCTAAAGCAGGTTCAGTAGAACAAGTGCACAGGATCATGTCCAGGTAGGGTTTGAACATCTCCAGAGAAGGAGACTCCACAACTTCTCGATTCAGCAAAGGGAGTCCCTAAAACTGCTGTTATGGCTCCCAAAATGGGCTGAGTTGATTTTTGTACACATGGTGTTGACCTGGATTCCTGATTAGGAGTCGAGATCATACAATATATTCATGTAAATAATAGTACAGCAGTTTTCAGCTGTGATGTCTTGATGTTCCTTTATCCCACAGCACTTCCAAGAGGAAATAGTTCTTGGCTCTGGGCAGAGAGTGGAGTGCTCTGCAGGTGTGAGAGCTGAGATTCTGTCATGAGGCAGTTGAACTGGGATCCTGAGCTTCTGTTCCATCACTAACTACTGGAAAAAGCATTTTCTGTTCTGTTTTCCAAGTTCTTCATTCTCCAAAAAATGCACCTTTGTGCAGAACACGACCCCTTTGAACAGAAATTTGCACTTTCAGATAGACCCACACATCACTTCAAAGGCTGAAATCAGGGAAGGATGATGGATATGGAAGAGGGGAGAATGTAGTTTAAAAAATGACCATGTCCAGAGGGTGTGATGTTTGTTACAAATTCTCGTCTGGTTGAACAAAGACACCAGTCCATGTGTCAGGGAACTCATCCTTTTATTAGATAGTCACCTTCAATCCAGCTACTATCCCACTCTGTAATAGTAGAAGCGTTGGCTGGCAAGTTCTCAAACTTTACAAATAACTTTAACAAAATTTTAACAAGTTCCCAACTCCCACAACAAACTCCAGGTCTCAGAAGTGCTGGCTGACAAGCTCTCAACTCTTACAACTTCAACAAGCTCCCAATCCTTAGAGCAAACCTGGCCTTGGACACTTCCAGGGATGGGGCAGCCACAGCTTCTCTGGGCAACCTGTGCCAGGGCCTCACCACCCTCACAGCCAACAATTCCTTCCCCATATCCCATCTCTTCCTGCCCTCTGGCAATGAGAAGCCATTCCCTGTGTCCTGTCCCTCCATCCCTTGTCCCAAGTCCCTCTCCAGCTCTCCTGGAGCCCCTTTGGACACTGAAAGGTGCTGGAAGGTCTCCCTGGATCCTTCTCTTCTCCAGTTGAACACCTCCAGATCTCCCAGCCTGGATCCAGAGCATAAGACTGGATCCATCCTCATCCAGCTCCTCTCTGAGAAGGAGTTTAGGAAACAAGGGGGTTCACTCTGAATCACATTCCCAGCTTCCATAAAAATCCCTCCAAATGGATTCCAATTGTCCTTTATCACAGAATCCCAGAATGGTTTGGGAGGGGACCTTAAAGCTTATCCAGTTCCAACTCTTACACCTTCTACTATCCCAGGTTGCTCCAAGCCCATCCAACCTGGCCTTGGACAATTCCAGGGATGCAGGGGCAGCCACAGCTTCTCTGGGAAACCCGTGCCTCCAAATTCCCTTCCCAAGAGCAGCTCAGAGGTGCAGGGAAGGAGCAGTGGGTGTTCCTGTGGAAATGTGTTGCCTCCAAGGCCCACGTGGGTCATATGGACATGACCTGCCCTTCATTTAGAGAAGGTGGAGCTATTCCTGTGGTTCCATTTGCTCCCTAAGCCGGCAAATCCCCTGGAATTACATTAATGCAGCAACTCACTGGGCTAATGTGGGATTTCTCTTTCTCACTGAGTAGCAACTTTGGAATAGGCCCCTGTTTGTGGGGATAGCTGGGAGTGTAAATAACCCTGAGAGCAGTGGGATGAAGAAGCAGTGCCTGAAATCCAAACTGAGTGTTCAGAAAGTGGGACAGAAGCAGTTGCTGTGTGGAACAGGATCCAGATTTCCATAGAAAGTGACTGGGCTGGGGCCAATCCACTGGAGGAGAAATATGAATATGGAAAATAATAATTGCCTCAATATGCCTGAATCTCCTGCTACCACAATTAAAGGAAATATCTGATTTTCCAATCTGGAGCAGCTGTCCAACAGCTGAACCTGCTGCTGATCAAAGCTGATGAAAGAATTCCTAGGATTATGTGTTATGGATAACCTACAGGAAAAAAACCAGTGGTAGTCCCTGCTTATGGTGTGATTATCAGAGTCCACTGAAGTAAACAGGACGTTTTGTTGTTTTTAGTGCAGATCTGATAAGCTCTGTAGAATGTAAATCAGTTCATTAAAATTTGCAAAGCAGTTAAATGAAGTGAAAGAGGAAACAGTTTTAACTTCTATGGGGTGTTTACTGCACATGAAGTACAATAAAATCACAATTATTCTGGAAAAGAATACTGTTGGAAATGTGCTGTATGTACTCAGTGTGGTGTTCTGAGGAAGATTTAAAAATTTTAAATCGTGGTTTTTAAAAAAGCATAACCTGACTCTGGAAATCTTCCTGTGTAATTTTGTGCCATCTCCACACCGTAGCTGTCTGAAGTATTGCAGCATTTGTGTGTTCGTGGGTCATACATATTGATAAGTAGGTATGGATGTGTATATATTAACCCAGGGATCAAAATAAATGGTGAACATTTATTTTCACCATATTCGTGAATCCTTCTACCTAAGCTGGGGTATGTCAGGGGGAAAAAAAAATGATAATAAACAAAGACCACAGTTTGTGGTGTCTAAGACACTGTCACTGGACAGTCTTAACTCTGATATCCATGGAATTGTCTAAGTTGTTTTATCTCCATATGCTGAGGTGACACTGCACATGCTGAGGTAATCTTAATTTATTTGAGGCATTTGGGAAGTTTCCTCCACTCCATGTGGATACAAGTGCAAGCTGATGTTACCTTATGCATAAAATTTACTGTATCTGTGATACCTCTCTAAGACTGGTGTATAAATTAGCAGTTGACACCTTTTAGTGGAGCTGCTTTGGAACCTTCACGCTCTGATTTCTGAAAAAAACTTGGTTTTTTTCCCCTCCTTGCAGTTACTTCAATGAGAATCAATATCCAGACGAGGCAAAGAGAGAAGAAATTGCCAATGCCTGTAATGCAGTTATCCAGAAACCAGGTGAGGAGCTGCTCCTGGTGTCCTTCCCAAAAAGCAATTTGATTTCAACACCTTGGGTTCAGACTGATGTTTGCATGAGATCATACATAAAATCATAGAATTATTGAGTTGGAAAAGACCTCCCAAGATCATCGAGCCCAACCTGATAGAGCAGGTCCTTGAAAGGAGCTCATCTTTCCTGGATTTCAGTTTTCTTCACAGCTTCCAGACAGGGGTCTTGGATTAGAACGTGGGTATTAATTGAGGACGTTGTATTTGGGTCAACAAGCTGCATTTTCCCTGTTCCTGGAGAAGTCAGACTGGGAGAGGAGCATAAATATTCAGTGTGGTGTTAGTGGATGCACCTGCCTTTGCTTAGGTTTGCTAACCAAACATTTACATAGATGTCAGACCTTGTGTTTTGGATATATTTAGATTTTTATATAACAAGAATAAAAATTAATGAACGGAAAGCTAAAGCTTGAGTCATGAACGTAAAATCACAGAAATATTTAGGATGGAAAAGCTCTCTGAGATCATCCAGTCCAACCATCCCCCAGCACTGCCAAGGCCACCCCTACCCCGTGTCCCCAAGTGCCACATCCACATGGCTTTGAAATCCCTCCAGGGATGGGGACTCCACCCCTGCCCTGGGCAGCTGTGCCAGGGCTGGACAACCCTTTTGGTGAAGAAGTAGTTCCCAATATCCAACCTAAACCTCTCATGGTGGAACTTGAAGACCTTTCCTCCCATCCCATCACGTGTTACCTGGGAGGAGAGAGTGATCCCCACCTTCTTATCCTTTCAGGTCGTTGTAGAGAGATGGGACAGTCCCAGGATAGCACAGAATCAGACTGGTTTAGGCTGGAAGTGACCTCTGGAGGTCATCTGGTCAGGCAGGACCAGCTTATAAGGTTGTTTAGGGCTTTACCTAGTTCAGTCTCTCCAAAACTGGAGATTTTCCTGCCTCTGGCCCCTATTCCACAAGGTTGAGCACTCTCATGGCAAAGTACTTTTTCCTAATACCAACTGAAAAATTCCCTTCTTGCAGCTTTTATGTGTTTGCTCTTGTCTTTTGCCTGTGGGAGCAGAAAGATCTATTGGGTAGAGCACCAAAGAGGTTAGGATTTGGTTTGTGGAGCAGCTTGGAACAAGCTGCTGAAACACACTCCTGTCTCAGGAGCAGTGAAATACTGTCGGTGGTGCTGATGCAGAGAATTAGGCACCAGCACAGCTATCAGTTTCCAGATTTTTCTTTCTTTCACTTGTCTCATCTCTCCTAACTTACTTAAGTGTGCAGATTGCTGCAATTACACGGGTGCTTTGTATGCTGAATAAATAAACTTTGAGAAAGAGTCAGAAGCAGGGGAGTCTCATCCCTAAGGAGCCTGCAGAGGATTGAGGATGCAGCTACATGGAGTATTTTATACAAGGACAAGGCCAACTGAAGAGCTTTCTGTGATGTGATGCTGAACCCCACCAGTCTCCCCTCTTTTATACTGATGACCAGAAAAAGGAATAGTTTTCCATAGCTCCCTTGTGGTTGTCGGGAATTTTTTTGCTGGTTTAAGGGTAAAAATCCAGTGATCTGGTTTCCAACATCCACTCCCCATTCTCCCAAAAGATCACGAGTGTCCTGGCACATTTGGGAGGGTGTGATGAGTGCTGGGGGTTGAGAGAAAGGAAGGCAGATTGCAGGGGATGACAAAAAAATATCTCTTTGTTCATTTTTCTGCTGAAGAAAACATGTCTGAACTGTATCCTTGTGGCACAGAGTAAGAGAAGGAGCCCAAGGGAAGGGGGTTTGTGGCAGGGCTGTGAATTGAATTTGAGTTTTTGGAAAAGCAACCCTCCCTTCTCCCACACCACTGGACTTAGTTGGTTGAAGCTTCAAAGGAATTCCTGTATTTCAGATTAAAAAAAAAAAGGCTCTTTTGTTTTTAGGGAGATATTTGGCATTTAGTGCCGTAACACCTGGACACACAGGACTTTGATTCACATAAAATTCACTTTATTCTCAGTTACAATAACTTTTCAGTGCTGTCTGTGTTTCAGGGGTTTTATCTCTTGGAATCACAGAATGGTTTGAGTTGGAAGGGACATTAAAGCCCATCTCATTCCAACGCCCTGCCGTGGGCAGGGACACCTTCCACTCTCCCAGGTTGCTCCAGGCCCCCTCCAACCTGGCCTCGGGCACTTCCAGGGATGGGGGACAAATGTCTGAGGGTCTTTATTTTTATTTCTGTTCCTCTCCTAGGAAAAAAGTTGTCGGATTTGGAGCGAGTCACCTCCCTCAAAGTGTACAATTGGTTTGCCAACAGGAGGAAGGAGATCAAGAGAAGAGCCAATATCGGTAATGTATCACAGAGCCTCTTTGCAGGGGCTCTACTTGCTCAGGAGAGGTGGCAATTACATCAGAATATATTAGTGGGAATACTGGAGGTTCTGACAGTCTCTGTAGAAGTGTGGAGGAATTATGAAAATCAGCCCCTTGCTGTTCCAGATTTTTTGTGGAATATGTGCAGGAGTTTAGTTTGTGGAAGCCCGTCATCAGTGCAGGAAAAGTGGTGCTGTCACAAAGTTTTACTGGAAGATCAGCTTTAAAAAGCAAAGTGAGAAGTCTGTTGTTGGGAGTTGAATTTCCCTATGCTCAGGCTCCTTTTGGTATCCAGAAAATCTAAAATAAAACCTCAAAATTGTAAGTAAGGGAGATTGAAACATTGGTGGGTTCACAGCCTTGCCATGCTGTTTATTCTGGTTGTACCTCTGCTCCTTCCAGCTTTCCAAGGTTTTCACAGTGACAAGTGGCTGGAACAAAGTAATATTTTTTTCTTGATGATCAGGATAAAACAAAAGTCACTTCAGAGTGAACCCTGCAGGATTTTAGTGTGAGGAGTTGATCGTAAGGAAATTGGAAGTGACTCTGAACTTGTAAGAAAGATACCTTCTAATGTGGAAAAGACATTCCAAGGAGAATAAACTCACCTCAGTGGCCAAAATTCAACAAATTCCTGGCATTCATGCCAATTTTTATGCCCTTACTTTCTGCAGAGTTACTTTTGCAGCACATGGATGAACAGAGATCCATACCTGCCTATTACCAGGATTTTTATTTATTTCAAATGCTCTGTATTTTTGCTTTTTTTCTGAATAAGAAAAAATTCTTTTTACATCATTTAATGCATTACTGAAATTTAACCTGAATTTATTTTTTTAAATGAGAAATTGCTCCTAGAAGAGACTGTGGGGAACAAAGCAAACTTTGTCCAAGGTGGGTGGAGTGGGAGTTGTATCTGTACTGTTTGGGCAGAAGGACTGGAAAGAGATTTAAAAGAACCAGAGGAAGCTTTAGATGCATGGATCCTACTAGAAGATGGATATGTTTGTTTTTAAATCCCTTAAGTGCCTTCAAAAATGTCTCCATCTATTTGCAGACACTCCCTGCCCCCCTCAAGTCCTGCCAGTCCAAAGTATGTGGGAAGAGCTACAGGGAATTCTTTTGCCACTCCAGTACATTAGAAATCAAGCTAATTTCTAGTAGGACTGGCTGGAAAACAAGGATTCTCACTCTCAAACAAATCTGTTAATTGGCAGGGAAGGATTTCAGGCTAACCAGTGTTTGTACATGTGCTCCTAAATACTGGAGAGCGAAGAGGAAGAGACTGCGAACTGACTCTGTTCCTCCAGTTATTCCAACTCCTTGAAAAAAAAAACCCACCTAGTTACTTTAAATTACCCCAATGCATCAGATAAATTAGGGATCCATTTGCTTTTTTCGAAGAAGCAGCAATCCTGGAGAGCCATGGAATAGATGTACAGAGTCCGGGAGGCCATTCCAACAGCGACGACGTGGATGGCAATGACTACTCAGAGCAGGTGAGAACCAGGGCTGAGCCACGGGGCCCAAAAAGGGAGATTCACTCACACCTGAAGAGGCCCTTGACCTCTTGAAAATAATAATCTCCTGTTTTTAATTTGGTTTTATGTAATTTTAATGGGGAAAAGGTGAGCGTTCAGCATTCACCCCCGTGGATTTGTTGCCTCCCCACAGGACACTTGGCAAGTACGCAACGGGGAGGAGGAGGGAAGATGTTCAGAGGGAGGCAGAGAAGCAGAGAAGGTAGAAGAAGACAGGAGGATCTGCTCCAAACAAGCAAGTTACACCCCTCACACCACATGCAGTGTATGATACACGTGGGGAGAGTGTCAGCTCACCCAGTGCCCACCACACCTTGTGCCCTCCTTGGCTCTGTTGTAGTTACCCTCCCTCAGGGGAGGATGTGCAGGTCTTTTAACAGTTGCTCCTGTAGATCAGGAACCAACAAGCTTCCCTGAAAACTGGGGATCTCTTGCAGCTATTCTTTATTTCTTCAAGAAATGCCCTGTTCTGACCTGGGCTACAGCTGCTGTGAGCGGCTGATCTGACCCCAGACATTGTGCCCAGGACACTTTATACTCCCTGTGTCAGCCTTCCCCAGCAAGAAAAGGAGCACTGAGCACCCTCCTGGAAGGTCCTGAGCTCCCTTTGCTTGTTTTGTGGGGGAACCTTTCAGGAGCATCTCAGGATCCATCCCTAAGACACTGACAGACAAAGGGTGAAGGGTGGGGGGAAAGGATTTGATTAAGTCTGACCTTTATTTGGCCTATTCCCTATTGTTCTGCAGCAATGTGCCAGTATTTGGATTGTTTACATATTACCTGTCTTCTTTTTTTTTGTTCGTTTTTGCATTTTAATTCTTGCCTATTCTCTCTTTTCTTGGTTATTTTTAACCCTTGACAGCAACTTCTTTTTTAAATTCTCTAGCAAAAGAATACCCCTTCCCGCACTCTGAGCCCTCACCTACCCTAAAGTTGGTGACCCTTCCTTCACACACCTTCCTGACAGGTATTGCACCCCCTTCCCAATTTTCCTTCAGTGTTGGCCAAACCCCCCCAGGGCTGTGTGTGTGCTTGGCACCAGTGGATCCCACCAGTTTTCTCTCTTGGTTTTGAAATGAGATGATTCTGTGCTGCCTCAACATCTGGGGTGGGCACATCACTTCCCATTGACTCTTTTGGGGGAGAATTAAGTAGCTCTCCCTCTCCAAAAGCTGCTGGTGGAGTGTAATTGCTGCTGAGTGTCCTGGAATGAGTCCCTCACACACTTGGCTGTGGCCCAGTACAAGGAATATCTGGCACAGGCATCCCCAGCTGCTCTGCTGCTGATGGGTATTAAGGCCCTTTTTATAGGTCATCACCAGCAGATTTGGTGGAACCAACTTTTCTGGCTCTGGATGACGAGAAGCTGCTCTGTGACTGTCATGAAATATTTAGAAAGTGCTCTGAGCACAGATAATTCCCTGTCAGTCAGAAACAGGACTGGAATGCTGAGGTGAAACGTGGTGTAAACTCCCCAGCTGTGTTTTTCTTCTGGGCATTAACCAAAATACTTTGAAAAGAGTGATAAATTGGTTATTAAAATTTAAAGATCTTTGTTTAGAGGCCTTAAAAATGACATTTCTCAGTAATCTGGCTGGGCTCCTCTGTGAGCTGTAATTGGGCATTAGCAGCAAAGAGGATTAAATGGAAGTTCTCCCGATGACCATTTAACATCCCTGAGCTGTTAAAACCAGAAATTCTCTTTTCCACAACAACACTGAAACTCTAATAAAATTTAAAACACAGAGTTCATTCAAATCCTAACAAAGTGCCTTAAACTCCAGAATTAAGGGCTCTGTATTTCTGCAGGTTACTGAGAGGCCCTTAGAGTGTGTGCACATCACAGTGTTTATCAGACACTTGTTGTAAATTAATGCATTCTTTTAAATAACCTCAGGATTTTACCAAATCCTGGGGTTTTTTTGTCCTCCTCAACATTTGCCATCCATCATCTTCATTTAAAGATGCTCTATGCATTTTATTTTAAATCTCACAAGTTCACCACTTAAAGGCTGTTGGGAGACTGAGAAGTGTTTATAATTTCCTTTCTGTAATTAATAATAATTTTAAAACTGTGTGATAACTATTAGTATCCTGTTTTAAAAAGGGGAAAACATGATTTTGCCCTGAGTGCCATATTTGAATTATGGTGGTTCCAGTCCCCCACAGTCGTTCCCTTTGTTTTCTTGGCAGCCCAGGAGTTTTTCAGCATCTTTTTCCTTATGCCTGTGAGAATTCAGTGTCTTCACAGGATACTGGGTTAGGCTGGGTTTGTATCCTGGCTCTGAGCAAGGTCAGTAGTAACATTTAAAGAAAAAGTACTTTTAAAGTACATATAGAATTATTTCGTTACAGTAGCTTCGAGCTTGTGGAAGTCAGTACTTTTGAGAGGCTTCCTGAGCCAGGCCATGCATCCACTTTCATTTTCCCTATTTTAGTAGACTGATTTCCCCTGGGTCTTTTTTAACCCCTGCCTTTTAAAGCCACTTTTTCTTCTGTCTGACCTAAAAATGAGTGAATCCCAAACTGAACTAAGTGAAGCAGTGCTTTGGAACACATTCCAGCGAGTGCCTTTGCTTATGAAATCATAAAGAAGCCATGAACAGTTGTTCTCTGTTTCCCAATTATTTGTAATAAACATTTACCATATCAACCATCAGCCATTTATTTCCCAGACTGGAGGACCTGAGTCTGTTCAACCTCTCCTCATGAGGAAGCCACCTCCTGCCTCTTCCCTGGGATGTTCTTCTCTCTGCCTTCTCTAGTTCTGTTGTGGCTTCTAAAGAGAATCCCAGAATGGTTTGGGTTGGAAGGAACCTTAAAGCTTCTCTTGTTCCAACCCCTGCCATGGGCAGGGATGCCCTTGGGGTGACCAGAACTGTCTGTTCCAAATACAACCATGAATTTGTGCAGTGCCTAACGATTCCTGTCTTAATTTGGTTTCCTGACTGACTTCGTGTATCACTTCTATCTTTATCATCTAATATTTTCTTTGAAAGGTGGGTCCCCCACTCCTTTGTCTGCACAGTGAGGGAGATCAATCCTAAACCCACTTCATAAATTCACTTTCTGCCCCCCATAACCAACAGTCCCCCGCCCCGTAGCTCATTACTCGACACACTTGTTTTACCCACCGATTTCCTACCTGTGGAATAACCCTGCTTCTCTCTCCTCCTTCCCACATTCCCAGGATGACAGCACTAGCCATAGTGACCACCAAGACCCCATTTCCTTAGCCGTGGAGATGGCAGCAGTCAACCACACCATCCTGGCACTGGCCCGGCAAGGAGCCAACGAGATCAAGACAGAGGCTCTCGACGACGACTGATACAAAGAGAGGGGAGGGTCAAAGCAAGAAGTAACTTAGTTTTAGACGTAGCACCTTAGCAGACTTTCCTCGGTCCTTAATATGTGTTCTTACAGTATAACTTTGCAGTTTCTTGTACGTCAGTTTAGCTGTTAGGGTCTTGTTCTGTGAAGATGGCATGGTGCCCTCAGCCTTTGCATATACTCTCTCAGTATTAATTCCCAATAAATAATCAATCAACCAACCAACCTCCCCTCTCCCGGCCCCAAGTGGCTAGAAAAAAAAAGAAAAAAAAAAGAAAAAAAAAATAATCTTGCTGCTCTGTCTTAGCATTCAAAGTGCTTCCAGGTATTTTAGACAGCCCTCGATTCCAAGTCTTAGGCTACACTTAAAAATCTTGGATAACCTTAGAGATCGTGTTGAAACAATAGTCCGTACGCTTTCCCTTCCCTGAGACTGAAAGGATGCAAGCTGAGGTAGTGGCACAGGGTCGATGGACACCACACTGGGAGCATCAACAGAGAGTAAAAAGAACACTTAGAACCCCCACTTCAGCCTGGGAATAAATGATTTCCAGCTGCAATAAGCCGTGCCTCACTGGTCATACAGTGACTTGATCTACTTTTGGGTGCTGTGCTGAGAATGTCCATTGGAAACACATTCCCATATTTTCCGTTGACGTTCACATATTCAACACAGACATCCTCTGCTCTCACAAGCTGCGTGGCTTAGTGGAGAAGTGCTGCCTTCTGCCTCTGGGACCATGGGTTGAAGCCCAGCCTGGGATCAAATGACAAATGAGCTGAATGTCTAATGGACAACAGTCCACTTCTCAGAACCACTATTCCTTTTTGGCATGGCTGGCAGTGCCTGCTCAGAAGAGGTCTAGACTCTTATTGATCTGTCATTAACTATTTCACCTTTTATTCCTCCTCTCGCCTTCTCTGTCCCCACCCTCCTCCCCTCTCCACTTTGCCACTTTCGAAAGCAATGTTTTCCAGGAAGGTTTTTATGGTCATAAAATGGGTGAGTGGATTTTTACACGTCTGTGTAACCGATGCCTACGTCCTGAGTAGCCTGAAAGGTTATTGGAGAACTTTGACAGCTGACCTTTGCTAGAGAAACCATCAGAGCATAAATATTCTCCTATATATGAACTTTTTTGTTTGTTTAAAGGCAGGAGGATCTCTTACCTGAGAAATGGGGTGTGAATGTTTTGTGTTCTCTTTACTCTGTCTTTGTTAAGGTGTGAGAAAGCTATACTGCTACGAGCAATTTAATTAATAATTGGAAGCCATACTGATAATGGATGTGGTAATATTTGTAAAGCAAACCTACTTTAAGTAGCAGGAACTAATGGAATTGTTTTCCTTGATCATATGTAGCACTTTTGTTACTTTTTTCTTAAAGATATTTATATTTGATAAGTCTTTTTTTTATCATTTGAGAATTCCAAATACCAAACAGCAAACTTGCATTGCAGAGTCACCCTGCGATCACCTTGTCATCTTAGTATCTAAATGATGAACTGTGTGTGCATCTAAGAAAATTACATCTGCTAGCATTGTGTGGAAATGATCTCCTGGCATCCTGATAAAATGATATGTTGCTGCCGGTAAGAGGAAACATTTTGATGGAAACAGCACGGGAAGTGTTAGAGACGGGCAAGAAAAACGTTAACAAGGAAAAAAAAATTAAAAACCCGTGGAAATTTTTGTACGAGAGATGTACAGAAATCTCCACAGCGTTTCCTCGACATTCCATTTTATCTTCCCAGTTTATGTGGGGATATCTTAAAAAAGAGGAGAACAGCTCAGTCTGAGGGATGGGCTTCCCTTGTTCTCTCCCACTTTGGAGGCAGAGGGAACGAAGGGAAGTTGCTGTTACTTGCCTTGTTCTCATCCCTCTCTCACTCTGAACTCTCAGAGAGCATCGTGAACCCCTAAAATGTGGCTGCTCAGCGGGTTTTTGGCCAGCCCAAACCCCTCCAGGCACAGGCTGACGAGATCAGCTTTACATCTGTTAATCTGGGGAAAACTGCTGACCCGAGTGTGGAGGAGATTTTGTGCTTTCAGAGGGCACCGGGTTGGCACCTCTTTGTCTCTGTACCTTTGAAGATGTATAGGTAGGGCTTGGCCTCGACTCTCACTTATGGATTTCATTGGAAAATTTATGTGCTTTCCTTGGATATAGATCACTGAAGCAGAATGAAGCCGTCTTTTTTTTTCTGTTTTATTGCATTTCTCGAGTAGGCAAATTCATAAGTAGCACCAGGGCGGACTCAGGAAAGGCAGGACTGGGATCAGCAACGTTGCACCACTGCAGTTCTTTTCTCACTGCTTTGTATGAATGTTTTGGTACTAAGGAGTGAAAGGACGGGGAGAGCTTTTATTTCTATTTTTGCACAGCAGAATGATCGAGCAAACCCGAGCCTTAGTGGAATTTTACCTACTTATTCATTCCACAGTCACACACTGAGCTGACAAGCAACATCCACGATTTATAGTAAGGAGATTTTAATAATCGATGACCTCTTTACGTTGGTCTTGCCACCACCATTTGTTCTGGCTGTTTCATTTTAAAAAGAACAGACTCAAAGTGTTGGACAGCTGCAATTTTGAAAGAAATATTGCTTACTATAGTATCTGTAAAAGAAAAAAAAAAGTCATTGTTTGAGGCGTTGCCTTTTTAAAGCAATAGGGGAGAATGAAAATAGTATTAGGACTTGTGTATCCTGATTATAGGTTCATGTGATGCAGGATCAAAGTAACACCAACTGGAACTGTATGTCTGTACCATCAAATGTAGAATTATCTGGTCTTAATTCTGTTTGTCACTGTCAGGAAGCCGCTGACATGATGCACCAATATCCTCTCTGAAGGTTAAACAGGTAAACAAACCCCTGGTGAGCGACTGGAGAGGGGCAGATCCTCCTTGGCTGCAGCTTCCTGGTAAATCCCAATTTTCTGCTTTCCCACATCATCATCTTACCAGAGGAAAGAGCAGATAACTGGGGAATCAGACACTTGATTCTGTGGTGTCAGTGTTTGGGTGTTTCTGTCTGCTTTGGCTGTTCTTTATGCGTCAAGAGGTACGAGGCAGGAGTGAGACCTCGGCTGTTCCCGGGCTCTTTGTGGAAGGCTGTTTTCTTGATTTTGGAAGATGATAGTGAGCAGTTTGCAGTTGATGAATTACCTTTTGGTTTGACGTTAATTAGCCATGATGGAACAGATGCTGGTGTGATGGTACCAGGAGAAGTGAATGTGATCTGGAGTAAGTGAAAGAATTGGTGGAGAATGTCTCCTGGAATTTAGCCTTTCTTCTGGGTTTTTTCCATGTTATGGGACTCTTCTTTGTCTTTCTGTCTCTGGACTTCCTTGGAAATTAAGCCTCGTTTTTATAGCATTGCAATTCAGTTGTGGTTTGTTGTAGCCAGTCTGGAGTTACTGCAGTTTGTTCTCGTGTGGGTTCCCTTGAAGTGGGTCTGGTGGCAGACCAGATCTACCTTTTTGTTCTGTGAATAGAGAAGAAATTATTTAAGATGCTCCTCCTCTGTGGTGGGCACAGGTTGCTTTTAACTTCATAGGGTAAGTTCTGGCTGTTACTTTTTCCCTCATAAAGTCCTTATACTTGAGTTGTTGTCTCTTACCGTCTTCTTAAAACAACAATTTCTACCTCCAGTTTTTTTATGGATTGTTTTTTTAATTCCCCCACCTTGTTCTCCTGAAGTATGAGATCCCAAACGTTTGCAAAAGCATTATGAGTTGATAAAAATCAGCAGACTTGTTTCTGTTGATCTTCTGAATACTCTATAAACATACGTGTGATTATAATGAAATCCCATTACTCATGTGTTGGCTGTGAGTCAGCAGTGCACCCTTGTAGCAATTAAGGGACCTCATTAAGAGCCTTCAGCAGGTCATGGAAAGGGATTAGACCCTTCTGTCCAGCATTTGAGGGACCCTTGTGTGGGCAGGAGGTGTGAGGGTTGGAGCACAAATTACGTGGAGGGAGATGGTAAAAGCTGGGTTTGTCCAGGGTGGCTCTAGGGACGTCCCGTATTTTGGGTTTTGACTGTCTTAATAGGTTGGTTTTAACTGGGGGGGCCTGTGCAGGGTCAGGAGTTGGACTTTAGTGATCCTCATGGGTCCCTTCCAACTCAGGATACTCTGTGATTCCAGGGGAGACGGAGCCAGGCTCTTCTCAGAGGGGCACGGCGAAGACGTGAGGGGCAGTGGGTAAAGTTGCGTCAGAGAAAATCCCAGGTGAATATAAAGAGAAATATTTTCCTACTCAGAGGGGCAGAACAACAACCAAGAAAGGCAGTAGAATTCCCATCCTTGGGGATATTCAAAACTCAACTGGACAGGGTTGGATTAGAGACCTCCAGAGGTCTCTTCTGACCAAAATTGTTCTATGATTCTGTACAGAGCTACTCAGGTTGGGCTGTTCCCTAGTTCTGATTTATACATGTTGACTTGTTAAAAGAAATCCTCTTAATTTGTTGGTTTTTTTCCTGTTTTGCTGTTCATAAAAATGTTAACTTTTCTAGTTTATTAATAGAGAGGAGCTTTATTTGCAGGGTCTGGCTCCAGGCTCCAGTCAAGCCATAAGTTAGAACTTTCATTAATTATTTGCTCTGTTTACACAGTTCTTCAGGGATATTTGACTTACTCTGTTTGTTTCATTGCCTAACATAAGACTGGTAAGTTTTTCATGTTTTTGTAACATTTGTGATTTGTAGATCAGTTTTTGCCTTCATTTGTGAGGGTTCATCCTTGTCTTGCTGCTGAAAAATTCCACGTAGCTGAACGTATTGGAGGAGAAATTGTGGTTAATTTAAGCCCACTGGTGACTACTGTGATAAGCTACAAATTCCGGGTCAGTAAATCACAAATTGACGATTATCAGAAGCTGAAAGGGTTTGACTGGGAAACAGTCACATTATAATTACCTGGATCCTCTTTCCTTAAGTGTTTGCTGTTGGACACTGCTACAGAAAAGAAACTCATGGTACTTGTAACAGGGTTTCATGAAGAAAAAGGTTTGATTTTTCATATAGATAAAACCACTAAAATTGGTGTAAGAATTTCCAAAACTCAAAATTAATTGCTGCCTTAATGCAGGATTGGGGTTCCCTGTGTGTGAGCTTTACTCCAGTCCAAAGCTGGAGTCACACTTTTCCCTGCAAATTACTAAGATTCAGTGTGGGATTTTGCCCATAATCCTGAGCTGTGGATGTTCAGTTGAAAAAGATCCCCCCCTCCCTTTTTATCCCTAGAATTGAGCTTGTTTTAATTAATAATTTT